AAGTCTGTCAGAGGCACATGGATAGAAATTCTGTTCGGTCATTAAGGAGAACTTCCAAAACATGGAGCAGAGTTGGGTGAGACAATTGGAGAGCATCACGAGCACTTTTGTGTAATATGGTGAGGAATGTGATGAAGGCTCGAATAATGCAATTGGCGTAACGACGAGGCTACTTGGGACCAGCTTTACGGATGATAAGGAGATTCTGTGGATCAAACTGCCATTTTTGGATGTGAATACTTTCAGGAACTTTGATGACTGCATTGCAGATAATCTGGAAGAGGAAATTAGGATGATAAGAGGGCTTTTAAGGCGCTTGGCGCTCCCTCTTGTCAAGGGTTCTCGTTTATCGAGAGTTTATTTGTAATAATTGAATCATTACTTATAGTTATTTGTTGGTATGATTCAGAGATGGGAGGTTTTTTATACATTGTATCAAACTCATTTAGTTTATTGTATGATTATTTGCTGATGAGAGACGTTGAAAGAATTTATAGAAGACCTTTCACCTGAATAAAATGGACGCCGACTTTTCTAAAATCATTATTTTTCAAGAATAACATTTAATTACCCGCTACATACGATTGATTGGAACTTCTAACACTATTGTACAAATGAAAAAACTTGAATCTCAATTCAAATACACGCTGTCATATTGTTGAGTTGGAATAATTCAATCAATTGATTTTGTGTGGACGAGCGATCTAATAAATCCATCTCGTGTATGTAGCACTCGTGTCCACCATCTCAGATTGTTTCTGTATAAATAAGACCCATAATTAGCAACACTGAAAGATTCAGTGGGAAAGGAGAATTAATCCAATTGGGATTCAATAATTCTTATTGAATATCTCGAGACCTAAGGAACATGGAGATATTCGTATAATCACCTTTTTTGTGGCTCGGATTTTTCTCCACGAAAAAGCTCTCTTCTTCGTGAAAATACCACCTTTACCTTCGCTGTTCTGTTCCTCATCGGCAGAGGATCTCATCGGCAGAGAGAATGGCTCTAAAGAATTATTTTTCTCATAAATCCCCATGAACTCATTAGACGGTCCCTTCTTGACGCAAATGTCGACCCCCTCTAATTCCTCCTCACTCAGAGGATCATCTGGGACTTTGTTCACCTGAAAAGGCCCTGAGGACTCCTCCTCACCGCCGAGTAGAACTCCAGCTACTCAGGGTGGTTTGAATACCTCTTGGCCCGTTGATAGTCGATAATTCATCGATAACCTCGTGCTTCAGGTTCTGATCGTCATTCTTCCAAGCTCAATTTTTCAGCACTACCGCCAGGGATGTCCTCTTCAGAGACAAGGTCATCTCACTGAATATCTCCTGACCTTCGTCCCCCAGGAAGCTATCATCGAAGCTCACTTTCTGCCGCTTGTAATGGGTGTTCAAAAAACCTCGGATTATCATCAAAACGATTCTGAAAAATGCATTTATAAATCAAAATTTCACGTGATTAACATATAATTGTAATAAATTTACAAAAAATCATAATTATTCCAATATAACAGCCACCTTAACATCCTTTGAGCTGTCAAAATCCTTGATGGCAATGTGATTTCCGATAACATCCACACATCACTAATTACTAATCAGGATAATCCATCGTTTATCAAATATTATGCCGTTCAATTTAATGCTTTTTATCAAAATATCAATTTATGGAATGTAATATATATATAATGTATAAATATATATGTACACTGTGACGTCATTTCACATTATTGTCGATAACACAGGAACCGGCGTAAGCAGCTGATCGGTGGGTCGAATCAAAATTGTTTATCTCCATTTAATTGATTGAAAAATGAATGTACAAACGAAAGGAAAAGAAATTCGCGATGTACAAACGATTCCCTATTGATTTCACCGGTTATTAACGCTAAT